GTTAATATCGTCTCAAGACTCACTTCAGGGTTATCTTGTAAACAATATGGACGAATGACTTATTCTATATTGTGAAAACTTACAGGATGTTAGTCTTTGAGTGAAGCAATGAGACTTTATGAGGAAAATGTGTCCAGCGTCTGTCAGGCTGTCTGTCTCTAAAAATAAATCTTATGTTTTCTGTTTTACATTTCAATTTTGGTGAAATTCGGTATGAATGAGTCACAGCGGTCACTGACTCTGTATGACCTTTCATGAGTCACGCAAAGCAAAGGAAATGCCACGAGCTCGTTGGTACAAAACACAATCTGGTCCACGCACAAAAATAAAAGAATAAAAGAAAAAAGGAAAAAACAAATACCAACCATCAAATATAAGCATTGGTGTACACTTTATGTATACTGTACATCTGACTCAGGTTCTGTACAACCCATAATATTTAGGTGTCAACACATACAACACAACATGGTCAACTCCACACGCGTGTTAATGATCTGGCAACTCTGAATGACGACAAACAGTTTAGTCGAGATTATTCTGAGGTTATAAATGAAACACCACCCTCCACGGAGAAGTCACTCTCCAAGGATAACCTCATCCTCAAGAGAACACCTCACCCTCCAAGGATAACCTCACCCTCAAGAGAACACCTCACCCTCCAAGGGGCACCTCATCACCACAACGCATGAGGGTGAACCTGGTCAACAGCCTACAGGCCCTACACTGTCGCAGCTCCGCCACATTACTTCAATTATTAAGACGTGTTGCAGATGAGGTGGTGGCTGGGGCCGGGCCGCTGGGTAAGAGGTCCTCATGGTCCTGGTGGTCCCCATGGTCCTGGTGGTCTTCGTGGTATTTGTGATTCTTAAGATCCTGAAGACCCTTATGATCCTCAGGGCATTCATGGTCCTTACAATATATTCCTTATGGCCCTTGTAAGCATCATGGTCCTCACATCCCTCATGGTCCTTATGGTTCTCATGGTCCTGGTAGTCTTCATGGTCTTGGTGGTCCTCGTGGCCCTCATCGGTGGAGTATGCCCTAGAAGAGCCATGGCCCCTGAGTGGGTGGGTCGCGGTGCTGCTCAATAATGGATATGAGCCAAGATGCACTGGTACACCCACCCACCACCCACCCACCCTGATGGTCCTCACTAACCCGGGCCACCACCCACATCTAACTTAACCTAACCTAACCCTGGACATCACCCACACCTAACCTAACTTAACTTAACCTAACCTTGGACATCACTCACACCTAACCTAACCTAACTTAACCTAACCCGGGACATCACCCACACCTAACCTAACCTAACTTAACCTAATCTTATGTAACTAACCTAAATATACAGTAAATTAACTAATCTACAGTTTCATTAAGTAAATCCGGATAAATTCTCGGAGATTCGGATAGGGTTTCGGGTCTGTGTCCGGATATTCGGGTTCACTCAAGTCACTACCCTAATCTCACACAACCACTGCCACCAATTTTTTTTTTATATCGATTCTTTTAGTTTATTTCAAATCTTTCATCTGTTAACTCTAAGATATTTTGTTTATTCATAAGTTTCTGGGTTTTTTTGTAGATAAGTTTATTTGTAATCCTGTAAGAATACGTTTAAAATTAGAAATAATTCATAGTGATGTCCTTTCACAAATTTCTTCTATTAAAATTTGTTCTCTAGTTCCTTGATTATTTATTTCATATATTTCAATAATTAAGTTTATATTTTTATACAATTTTATTCTTAAATGTAGAATGAATGAATTTATTTATACAATTTATTTTAATATCTCACTAATTTATTCCAGTATTTTAGGAATTATGTTTCATTTCAACATTTTGTTATTATAGAAAAAAAATTAATTTGTTTAACATATTTTAGAGTAAATTATTTTTTCATTCAATATTTTTACAATGTTTAAATAAGACAAAATCACCAGTTTATTTTAATATATTAGTAAATCTCTTTTATCTTGTGAATTTATTACTGAAAAGCTAAAAAAAATGGCTCTTTTTATTTATTTTTTCTCAACGTGAATATTTACAAAAATATTTCTAAGTTGTTGTTTATGGTGTTAGTTAATGGTGTTAGAGCCGGGAGTTAATGGTGTTAGAGCCGGGAGTTAATGGTGTTAGAGCCGGGAGTTAATGGTGTTAAGAGCCGGGAGTTAATGGTGTTAGAGCCGGGAGTTAATGGTGTTAGAGCCGGGAGTTAATGGTGTTAGAGCCGGGAGTTAATGGTGTTAGAGCCGGGAGTTAATGGTGTTAGAGCCGGGAGTTAATGGTGTTAAGAGCCGGGAGTTAATGGTGTTAGAGCCGGGAGTTAATGGTGTTAGAGCCGGGAGTTAATGGTGTTAAGAGCCGGGAGTTAATGGTGTTAGAGCCGGGAGTTAATGGTGTTAGAGCCGTGAGTTAATATAGTTAGACACCAGACTTAATGGAGCCTGATACAGAACTTAATGGGATCAAATATATGAATTAATAGAATTACACACGAGACACAATGGAGCCAGATATATAACTCAGAGATTTCCCTCATTATAAATACAATAAACTACGGCAGCTTTTAGTACTCCGAGATACACAGCTTTGTGCGTGAGGGGAGGACCTGTATTGCGTGGTTTAAGCGTTTACCATGGTCAGCTATCAAGGCAACGGTGACGTAAAATGACGTCAAATACACCCTCTACTCCCATTGGTTAATATGTGATTTAAGCAACACCGTCATCATATTGATTATGGAGGAGGGGGGGGGGGTGAGGCGCCTATGACGTCACCGATTCTTCCATTGGTGGAGCCCTTGGTGACGTCACGAGGGTAAATATTGATCAGGAGGCGGAGCCAACGACGTCACTACGTGTCTTAGTGGTGGAGAGCGAACGTGACGCAGTTAACGTAATATTGATTGGTGGGCCGAGAGCTACGTCACAATGTGCGTCTCTGGGGTCTTTTGGGGGGGAGGGTGATGAAATAATTACGTGGTTAATTTAAGCACTGCGTACTCTTACGGCCAAGATCTTCTCTCGCTACGGAGCCAACATCCTGGGTACCGGGGGCGGGAGGTGGACGTGGGGGAGGAGGGGGGGCTGGTGGCGGAACTGGGCTGGGAAAGTCAGGTGGAAGGGGTTGAGGGGGGAGGGCCTGGGGTCTGCTGGGGTACGGCGTGGGAGGCAGGGGATTGGGGTAAGAGGTGATGGAGGGGAGTGGGGGTAGAGACCTGGTCCCGCCCCCTCCCTGTTCCCTACCTTATCCCTCCCTCCACTCCTACTGCCTCCCTCCCTCTCCTCTCCTTGCCCCCACCTCCCTCTTCCTTCTTCTACCCACTCCTACCTCCTTCCCTCCTCTCCCTCACTCCCACTACCACCTCCTCCTCCTCCCTCTCTTCCACCACCTCCTCCTCCTCCTTCCTCCTCTCCACCACCCTCCTCCCTCCTCCTCCCTCCTCCACCACCTCCACCACCTTCTCCTCCTCCTTCCTCCTCTCTTCCACCACCTCCTCCTCCTCCTCCTCCTTCCACCACCTCCACCACCTCCTCCTCCTCCTTCCTCCTCTCTTCCTCCTCCTCCTCCTCTCTCCACCACCTCCACCACCTCCTCCTCCCTCCTCCTCCTCTCTTCCACCACCTCCTCCTCCTCCCTCCTTCCTCCTCTCTGCCACCACCTCCTCCTTTCTTCCACCACCTCCTCCTCCTCTCTTCCTCCTCTCTTCCTCCTCTCTTCCACCACCTCCTCCTCCTCTCTTCCTCCTCTCTTCCACCACCTCCTCCTCCTCCTCCTCCTCTCTTCCACCACCTCCTCCTTCCTCCTCTCTTCCCACCACCTCCTCCCTCCTCCTTCCTCCTCTCTTCCACCACCTCCTCCTCCTCCTCCTTCTCTCTTCCACCACCTCCTCCTCCTCCTCCTTCCTCCTCTCTTCCACCACCTCCTCCACCTCCTTCCTCCTCTCTTCCACCTTCATACTTCAAGATTCGCTATCACAAAAATCAAACCCCGTGTGTTGCTGTGTGTTAGTACGGGTTACTGTGGGTTACTACATGGGTTATTATGGGTCACTAAATATCAATACCCTTCCTCTCCTCCACTTTATATCTTAATTAATCAAGTTATAATCGACTCCTTCATTTACGATTCTAATTCCAACGACAGACACCAAATTTAAACTCTCAATAACTTCAATTTTACCTTTGCTTCCACATCATAAGGGAGAGAACCCGGCATGACACAAGCGCATTAGTCTTCCGTAAATTACATTGTATACCAAGTGACGTGAAATAGCAATGGCAAATGGTTAGATACGATAGAGTTTGGTAAATGATTTGGGGGAGACAGACAGACGTACGGATGGGTAGAGGGGGGTCAAAATAAGAGAGAGAGAGAGAGAGAGAGAGAGAGAGAGAGAGAGAGAGAGAGAGAGAGAGAGAGAGAGAGAGAATAACTTTCCCTTTATTTAACTTTAACTTCTCATCAACTATATTCTTGCCAGACAGAAGCATAAAACGTAATCTTAAAACTCCCCTTACACACACACACACACACACACACACACACACACACACACACACACACACACACACACACACACACACACACACAAAACTTAAAAAAAATAGAACCACAATAAACAAAGATAATTATCGACATTTTGTGATCAATTTGCTATGACGAATAGAATTGATCAGGAATTATATGACCTTTAGGTAGTCATGTACTGGCATTCGTCCTCTTGTAAGGCGTTCGTACTCTTTGTTTGGCGTTCGTACTCTTGTTTTGGCGTTCGTACTCTTGTGTTGGCGTTCGTACTCTTGTGTTGGCGTTCGTACTCTTGTGTTGGCGTTCGTACTCTGTGTTGGCGTTCGTACTCTTGTTTTGGGCGTTCGTACTCTGTGTTGGCGTTCGTACTTTGCAGGTGCTGGCGTTCGTACCTTGTGCTGGCGTTCGTACCTTGTGTTGGCGTTCGTAATTTTGTGTTGGCGTGCACTTACCTGGTCTCTCCCCAGTGTGATCTGCGTCAATGCCAAGGCTACTATGCAAACCTTCCCCTGTGGTCACCGGGTCGTGCAGGAAAGTGCTTCTGTCAAGACCATACAGGTGAGTCCAGGTGTGCAGGTGTATGTAAGTGTGTAGGTGAGTTCAGGTGTGCAGGTGTATAAGTGTGTAGGTGAGTCTGTGTGTGCAGGTGTATGTAAGTTTGTAGGTGAGTTCAGGTGTGCAGGTGTATGTAAGTTTGTAGGTGAGTCCAGGTGTGCAGGTGTATGTAAGTTTGTAGGTGAGTTCAGGTGTGCAGGTGTATGTAAGTGTGTAGGTGAGTCCAGGTGTGCAGGTGTATGTAAGTTTGTAGGTGAGTCCAGGTGTGCAGGTGTATGTAAGTGTGTAGGTGAGTTCAGATGTGCAGGTCTATGTAAGTTTGTAGGTGTGACCAGGTGTACAGGTGTATAAGTGTGAGTCAAGGTGTACACGTAAGATTCACCTACCTCACTATACATCTGCTGGCTCATACTAACTTATATGTGGTGCTTAAGATTTTATATATATTACGCTCCTAATTATGTTATCAGCCATCATTAACATCACCTTATATTAATAAAGACAATATGAGTCTTATTTTCTTAATGACAGTTTGTTATGTTGGTACAGTTGTGGAGATGTGTTCCTTGTGGGTATTGGTAGTGTAAAATGACTTGAACCATCTACCCTCACAAGTCATCACTCTTATACCCAGGTTACGGTGAATTATGTCCATCTACCCTCACAAGTCATCACTCTTATACCCAGGTTACGGTGAATTGTTTTACACTCACACCTTCACACCTGTAGGCTGATCCTTACTCTTACCTTCATTACTTTCCTCAACGCTCAAACTTAACTTATCATTCAATTTGTCTTTTCATATGAGACACTTCAATCATCTATAAGCTAATATTGGCAACACCCTAAGCTATAGACACGTTTTGAAGTTCTATTATTTACCACACACTCGGTCATCATCTTCCACTGACTCTTGCTACACCTGTGATCTAATCAATGTTACCTAGTGTGCTCCCCATACTTCCCCCAGGTGCTCAAGACGGCCTCATCCTCCACAGTTTAACCCTCCATAAACATTACCTGAAAACCAATACTCAGGTAGAACTCATTTCCTCCCTCGTTCAGACACTCCACTTATGAACCTGTCGTCTCACCTCCTCTGGGAACTCCTACTCCCTGCCTTATCTCTGTCACCTCTTCTGGGAACTCCTACTCCCTGCCTTATCTCTGTCACCTCTTCTCGTCTCTAACAATCAATAATCAAAGTCATCACCATAAAGTACTTCTGGAGGAGGAGTGGGTTGGTCCTTCTCAATGGTCGTACTTGACGTTTTCCTGGTACTCTAAACACGTGTATCTTCGACCTGGACCGAATTAGAACACACTGTATTATTGTTTACATATAGTGAGGCATCAATCCTTTACACACACACATAGTATTGAAGGCTATAACTACAGGTGTGTGAGGAACTGGGCACTATAACTACAGGTGGTAGGGACAGGTGTGGCAGGGCTTGGAGTATCTCATCTTAAATAGAAGTTTCTTAAGGAGGTTTGGTCAATAATCTACCTGACTCAAGGAAACTCTCTCTCTCTCTCTCTCTCTCTCTCTCTCTCTCTCTCTCTCTCTCTCTCTCTCTCTCTCTCTCTCTCTCTCTCTCTCTCTCTCTCTCTCGGGATCTGGCCACGCAAGGATCTGAAGAGGAGTGTCAAGAAGGAAAATAAGAGGTAGAAAGAGGAGGAAGAGGAGAGGAAGAAAGAGGACGAAGAGGAGGAAAAGAAGGTACCAGAGAGGAGAAAGTGGGAGATGAGAGAGAGGTGGGAAGGAGGCGGTTGGGAGAAAAGACTGATGAGGAGAAGGAAGAAAGATTAGAGAAGAAGAGGAGGGAGTGAAGGAGGATATAGGAGAGAGGGGGAGGAACAAGATGAGAGAGGACGAGAGGAAAATTAGGAAGAGGACAATAAGAGGGATGAGGAAAAAGGTTAAGATGATATATGACGAAAAGGATGAAGATAGAAGAAGAATGAAAGAGAAGAATGAAAGAAGAGGAAAGACTAGAGGGGGGACAGACAGACAGAGACAGACAGACAGGTGGGGAGAGAGAGAGAGAGAGAGACTAAACAGTAAGGAAAGGAAAGGACAGAGGAGGAGGAGGAGGAGGTGAAAAAAATGAAACCAGAATGAAAGAGAATGAAAGAGGGAAGAGAAGATGAAAGAAGGACTGATATTCATACACAGGCGATTCTCTTTTCCTGTTTTTCTCTCAACCTATCTACCCCTTTCTCTCTCTCTTTCATCTCCTCCTTTCTCGGTAAAATCCTCCCTCCCTTATGCATAGAGGGGGGTTCACACACACACACACACACACACACACACACACACACACACACACACACACACACACACACACACACACACACACACACACAGGGGGATCTGTAGGAAGGAGGTGAGAGGGAGGGGGGAAGAGAGGAAGGGAAGAAGAGTGGGAGGAGACGGAGGGAGAGGAAGGAGGAATTGAGGTAAGTGAGGGAGAGAAAGAAGTGAGATAAATGAGGGAGGGGAGGGAAGGAAGTAAGGTCATTGATGATGTCGGTGAGGTTGGTAATCGGGGTTCCAGAAGTAGGAGGAGGAGTAGCAGAAGAAGAGAGGAAGAGGAAAGGAATTGGGAGGAAACGGAAGAGGAGGAGGGAGAGAAAAAGAGTGTTAAAAGT